TGTCTGCAAATACTAGCTGATAGAATAAAAAAGGGAGAGAATGATCCAACATGGGAAGCGGGATACACAGCAGACTCATAGAATGGCGGATGTCCTAAACAGCACTCTGGCCTCAGAATCAGCCCTTAAGGCATGCGGATCCGGCTGAAAAGCCAATGAGACTATTTCAGGCATGGAAAGCCAAGACACTCTGGGGGAAAAAAAAACCTAAATGAAAGATCTCCGTGAGTGAGATCCCAGTGGAAAGAACAGGTCATCAAAGAAGGAGGTACCTTTCTCTGAAAGGAGGAGAGAACTTCCACTTTGACCATGGCCTTGTCTAAAAATTATCAGCGTCAGTGAACTCAGGGGGCTTCCATAGCCTTGGCAGCTCATGACAAGAGCCTAGGGTGATTACTGATGCCATAAATAAGAGTGTCAATTTGTTAAGTCAACAACAGGAGTCACTGTGCACTTACTCCTCATGTAGGATCTTTGTCCTTAGTGTGCTGTACATTGAGATTTAATGCTATAACTAGTACTCAAACAGTATTTTTCACTTGATGTTTCTGTGTTGGAGCAAACTGTTGAAATCTTTACTTAATGTATGCTAAACTGATCTTCTGTATATAAAGAGAAACGAAAATGAATCTTGATGTGAATGGAAGGGGAGAGGGAGTGGGAAAGGGGAGGGTTGGCGGGTGGGAGGGACGTTATGGGGGGGAAGCCATTGTAATCCATAAGCTGTACTTTGGAAATTTATATTCATTAAATAAAAGTTTGAAAGCAAAAAAAAAAAACAAACAAACAAACAAAAAAAAAAACCAGGAAAACAGTAAAGAAAAATCAACATAACCAAAAGATGGTTGTTTGAAAATATCAATGTAATTAAAGAAGTTCTAGCCAGGTTATTCACGAAAAAATGGAAAAGATACAAATTACTAATATCAGAAATAAAAGAGGAGTCATCACTACTGATCCATAATCATTAAAATAATAATAATATGCAAAATTTCGTGCACACAAATTTTATACCTTTGATGAAATGAATGAAGTTCTTTAAATAAATAAACTACCAAAACTTACTCAATGGGAAATAGACAACCTGAATAGCCCATGTTTATTAAAGAAATTAAGTGATAATTAAATACCACTCACAAAGTAAACAGCAAGCCCAGATCATTTCACTGACAAATTCCACCAAACATCTATGGAAGTAATAATACCACTACTTTACAAATTCTTCCAGAAAATGGAAGTGGAGAGAAAATTTCCAATTTATTTCATGAGGAAACATTGTTCTAACACGAAAACCAGATAAAGATCCTGTAAGAAAACTAAAGATCTATATTTTCATAAATATGGATGACAAATTCATTGAAATGTTAATAAATTGAATACATAAATGCCATCATAACCAAGTAATGTTTATTCTCAAAATGTAAGTCTGGTTCAACATTCATAAAGCAATTAACATAAATGACCATGTTAACTGACAAAGTAAGATAAACCACATGAGTATATCCATTAATGCAGGAGCAGCCTTTGGGAATATTGAACATCCATTCATGCTAAAAATTTGAAAACACTAAGAACAGAAAAGGACATTCTTAATATGAGGAATATTCCCAACATAACTAATTGTAACAGGCTAAAATGTATTCCCCTAAGGTTGAAAACAAAGCAAGGGTATGATTTCTCACCACTTCTCTTCATCATGCTGCTGGGAGTCCTAGTTAGTACAATAGGATAAGAAAAGGGAATAAGTAATACAGGTGGGAGAGGAAAAAATATAATTGTCTTTATTTGCCAAAGACATAATCATTTTTTTATGTAGAAAACTCCCACGGGGCCAGTGCTGTGGTGCAACTGGTTAATGCCCTGGCCTGAAGCACCAGCAGCACATATGGGTGCTGGTTCTAGTCCCAGCTGCTCCTCTTCCAGTCCACCTCTCTGTTATGGCCTGTGGAAGCAGTAGAAGATGGCCCAAGTCCTTGGGCCCCTGCACCCGCATGGGAGACCAGGAAGAAGCTCTTGGCTCCTGGCTTTGAATCGGCGCAGCTCTGGGCGTTGTGAACAACCGGAGAGTGAACCATCGAATGGAAGAACTCTCTCTCTCTCTCTCTCTCTCTCTCTGACTGTCCTTTCTCTGTGTAACTCTGACTTTCAAATAAATAAATAAATCTTAAAAAAAAAAAAAAAAGAAAACTCCCACATTTACAGAATCTACAAAAATACTCCTGGAACTAGGAAGTAAATACACCAAGGTTGCAAGACATAAAACCAATATAGAAAAGTCAATTACTTTCTTATATGCAAGCAATGAACAATTGGAATTTGAATTATATATAGATATAGGCATAGATGTAAAGATATAGATACATAAATATGAGTTCATGTATGAGTTAGTTTATACATCATGTTTTCTTGACTTTCAGCTAAGAGAGTCTAAAAGCAATGAAATCCCAGGAGCAATGAGCACACCTTACATTCAAGCCTTGGTTTCTAACACTATCCTCCAATAAAAGGAGCCTTGGGAAATAAAAAGGTCCTCGGGAAAATGGTTAGGAAGAGAATTTATTGGATGATTCTGGAGCAACTTGTCATACCAGAAAGTAAAGAAGAGCAAAAAATAAAGAACAAGAAAAAATAACTCACAAGGGGCATGACAACTAAATGTTATGTGGTATGCTGAATGGATACCTGAACAGGAAAATCACAGGATAAAGTACTGCCTATATTATAAAAGAAATGCAAAGGATAGATTTGACAATAATTTATTAATATTGGCTCATGACTTGTGACAAATGTACAATAGTAATGTAAAATATTAACAGTAGGGAAACTGAGTATAGGGTATACAGGACTTCACCATATTCACTTTGTTTAATACTCCATTTAATCCTGCTGGAGTTTTGGCAGTTGATACTTTTCAAGGAATTGGTTCATTTCTTCGAGTTGTTGAATTTATGAGCATAAAGTTTTTCAGGGTTCCCTTGTTATCTTTAAACAGTTGTGGATGTATAGTAACAACTCCCACCCCATTCCTGATAAATGATGAGTTGTATAATCTTTTTTCTATGCTTGTCAGCTCTGTGAAAGCCTCATCAATTTTATTAATTCTTTGAAGAACCAAGCTTTTGTTTCATTGATTTTCTCTGTTGTTTTCTCTTTTCAATTTCACTAGTCTCTGTCCACATATTTATTAGTCTTCCTTCTGCCTGCTTTGGGTTTATTTTTATTTTCTCAAGGTTGGATTACAGATTTGAAATATTTGCTTATTTCTTTCCCTTTCTTTTTTTAAGCTCAGAGCCTATATTTTTAAAATATATTAGAGGTTCCATTATGTGAGATCATGAAATATTTTTCTTTCTGTTTCTGGTTTGTTTCATTTAGCATAATGTCCACCAAGTTCATCCATGTTGTGGCAAGTGTCAGGATCACCTCATCTCTTAGGGCTGAGCAACGTTCCTATGCATAAATACAACACAGTGCCAATATACATTCACCCACCATGCATTAGTCCAGACACTTTGCTTATGAGTATACTTAGCTATTGTGAATAGTGTTACAATGAACATAGGGATGGAGATATCTCTATGAGAGCGTGATTTCATTTCCTTTGGGAATATACCACGAAGAGAAAGTGCTGAGTCATATGATAGTCTATTTTTAATATCTTTACAAACTAAAATTTGGCTGTTATTGGACCATGCTTATGATTGTGCAGAGTCTCTGGAGGGCAACAGCACTTTGCCACTTTGAATTAGCCCATCCTTGCTCATACCTCTGATGGAGCTAATTGCCATGGGCAAAAAATTAGAAATGTGATATCACATAGAAATAAAATTACTGAAATCATCACTTTGAGGCTGAAAAAACAGCTGAGTATCCCACAAATGAGAGCTAACCAGAGCTATTTTTTATGCGATGCCACATTTCATTAGGAGCAGGTTTTTTCTTCTCCAAAGATCATAAGGCAAGGGACATTTTATTTTCTGTGCCCTCTCTACAGGGGTATGGTACAGTGAAATACATCACCTTGGCAATTTCCAAATGTTGAGCAGCACACTTCCGTGGGGTTCTGGCTGAGCTGGCCTTGTGTTCATTAACACAAGTGTTTATTTATTTTCCCACTAACCATTAAACAAAGTCCTCTCTATGGGAAACTTATGTTCAAAGAGCATGTTAAAGGCAGTCATTTAAAAGGCAAATAATTCCATATTTGAAGCAAGGAGAAAACTGTGGGTGGATATACACCAAGCTATTGATATAGGTCACCTCAGGTGGGCAGGACAGAACCAGGGACAGAAACAGGAGTACACTATTCCTAAAACGCCCTTGTACTGTGTGCTTGTCACAATGGGTGTGTAAAATTTTTTGCAATTTTAAAAAAGAAAGATTTAAAGGGTCCCTAGCCCTTTTGCTTTTATATTCTCTATGCTCTCTGCCACCGACACTTTGGAGTTTATAAATGTGGCCTTGTTGCTTCTTATTCTCTTCCAACACAGGCCCATCCCTGTATGGTCTGGGCACCTGTAGGCCTGGGTGCCTGGGTGGTTTTGAGTGAACTCTTCCATGAGGAAGCCCAGACCCTAGGGTCCAGATGCTTGTTACCTTAACTACGTGTGAATGGCAGACTTCAACTTGAGACTTTGACTGTAAAGGATTAGTTTGTAAACATTAAAATAAGTAAAAATGACTACACTAACGCTTGAAGAAAAGCGTAGGCAGCCCCTGGAAATGAGCTGGCAGTACAGAGCAAATGTGTATAGACTGATGGGATGTGTCTGAGAAAAGGTGAGGCCTGCAGTGGGCCTGGGACCTGCTAAGCAACACTGAGTGTGTTTCTACATGACTGAGATCACACAGCAACACACTAATCACTGTTAAATCTTCTCAATTCATTGATCAGTGAGAAACTTTAGGAATATGACTATGGTCTCATAATTCACAAATCTGAATGCTTGGCAAATCAAGGTTTTCACTTTTTTAAAGGATAATAATAAAAAATAATGACAATGGCTTCTCGGCCTTTTGGCTAAGATCAAGTGTAAAAAATAATGACAAGAAATATTAGCCAGATTGTGCTATGTCATTTTTATCAGTGGCAGTTTTATTTGTTTTTCCTAAGGTTATCAATATTTGAGGCATGCTTAATTTTTGATAGAGGTAGTGCTCTTCTGAGTACTACCGAGGGAAAAGTACAAAAATTCATATGAAAATATGGACAATCACACATACAATATTTAATGAGTATTAAAATGTTATTATCTATTAGTACTTTTAATACAGTAGAAATTCTATAATTCAACATAGCAGCATATTCCTGAACCACATGGTATGGAAAGTAACTCATTTGTGGTTGCATGAACATAGGATAATCTTCACCAAATTCATTCTCATAAATTCAAATTGACTTCACAGACTTTGACTAACAATGTACCCTACAATGATCACCATGTAAAATCTTGCAGAAAGCCAAAGCACAATGACCATTACAAGCATGGTTTAATAAAAATTCATCATCACCATCATCATCATTGATCAGAGCATTTAACTCAACTTCCATGAGAAGAATACACCTCCAAATTATTTTTACAGCCTAGTTTGATTTTCTGCCTTCGTGGAACATTTTTATTTTACTCTTTTTTTTTTTTTTTTGACAGGCAGAGTGGACAGTGAGAGAGAGAGACAGAGAGAAAGGTCTTCCTTTTGCCATTGGTTCACCCTCCAATGGCCGCCGCGGCCAGCGCGCTGCGGCCAGCCTTCTGTTTCTTAGTCTTGCTATTTACATTGGTTAGAACTTACAGTACCATGATGAACAAGGCAGTGAAAACAAATTACCTTGCTTTTTCCATAGCTTCAGTCTTTCACCATTAAGTATGAAGTGAGCTGTAGGTTTGGTTGTATTCTACAGTTCGGAATCAGATTAAAGTTTTCCTCTATTCTTACTTTACTGAAAGTTTCTGCCATAAATATGTATTAGATTTCATCAATTACAGTTTCTGCATCAAATGATATGCAATTTTTACCATGATATAATGGAATATATTGATTGATTTTTAAAGTAGAGCTAGCCTTCTATTTCTGGAATACATTCCATTCATATGAAAGAAACTGGTCTGTAACTTTTTCTTACTATCTAGCTTTGGTAACAGGAGATATTAGTTTCAAAAAGGTATTGGGGAGTATTTATTCCTCTCCTATTTTCCAGAAGATGCTGTGTAAGTGCTAATTCGCCCTTAATTTCTTGATGAAATTCTCTTTAAGCAATATGAGACTTAAGATTTCTTTTGAGGGAAATTTTTAATTGAATTTACTAATTCAATCACTTAATAGTTATAAGAATATTCAGGTTTTGTATTCCATTTTCTTTGGTAAATTGTGGATTTTAATAAATGTGCACAATAATCTAATTTTTATAATGGTGCCAAATTTGTGAGTTTAAAGTTGAATATGGTACTTCCTTATCCTTTGAGTGGCAGTGGAGTATACAGAATTATACCTTACTTCATTTCTGATATTGGTGATTGGTGACATTTTATGGTTCCCCCATCCTGTTTCTCTTTTCTTATAGTTCTCAGGGTTCTTGGACATTGTGTAGGATCACTTGTTTTATTTACAGCATTCTTAGTATATTATCTATACAGTTTTCATTACAATATGAATATATAAATGTTAAGGGTTGAATTGTGTCCTCTCCAAAATTTACATGTTGTCAAAGTCTCCTAATGTCATTGTATTGGAGTCTATCTCTCTTTTTAGGCCTATTAGTGTTTGCTTTAAACATTTCAGTGCTTAGATGTTGAGTACATATATATTTACAACTGGTATTTCTTCTTGCTGAATTAAACATTTTATCTTTATATAGTGATTTTATTTATCTCTTTCTATGGCTTTTGATTTAAAAACTGTTTTCTCTGATATTACTACTACTGCTTTCTTTTGGTTCCATTTTCATGGGATATCTTATTCCACTCTTCCGCTTTCATTCTATGCGTGTTCAGAGAGGTGATGTGAGCTTGTTACAAACAGCATATAGTAGTATAGTTTTGTTGTTATTGTTTAAACCCAATTTTTATAGGTCTTTTGATCAGAAAACTTAATTGTATTTAGTTTATTTATATGCACTAATTACTGCCATGTTGATATTGTTGTCTGGTTTTGGTTTTTTGTTTTTTTTTTTTTTTTTGTACTTCCTTTGCTTTTTTAAAGATTTATTTTATTGACTTTAAAGACAGAGTTACAGAGAGAGGTAGAGACAGAGAAAGCGATCTTCTATCTTCTGGTTCATTCCCCAGATGGCTGCAACGGCCAGAGCTGCACCGATCCAAAGCCAGGAGCCAGGAGCTTCTTCCGGGTCTCCCATGTGGGAGCAGAGGCCCAAGGCCTTGGGCCATATTCTACTGCGTTCCCAGGCCATAGCAGAGAGCTGGACTGGAAGAGGAGCAGCCAGGACTAGAACTGGCGCCCATATGGGATGCCTGTGCTTCAGGCCAGGGCTTTAACCTGCTGTGCCATAGTTGCAGCCTCTGTTTCTTCCCTTTCATTTTCCTGTCTTATAATCTTCCTTTGCAGGTAAGTGATTTTCTCCGAGATGTGTTTTGTGTGTCTTTTAGAAATTGGCTATGACATTAAGCATAATGATCTCCAATTGCATCCATTTTGTTGTGGAAGACAGGATTTCATTCTTTTTACAGCTGAATAGTATTCCATCATGCCTATATGCCACAACTTCTTTATCCAGTCATCCGTTGATGGACATATTCTTATAAATTCTTGGCTCGGATGTGAATCAGCAATACTTTTAGAGTATGAAATATGATGCTATGCATCAAAATTTAAAGTATGTATAATCTTTGACTCAGCAATACCAAAAACATAGAAATGGTTTCACATGTTTGCAAAGACACATATTTACTACAACATTGGGAGGGCAATAATTTGAAATTGCACAAATTCCCAGAGATATTGGAATCATCAAGTAAGTTATGGCAATTCTTTTTTTTTTTTTTTTTTTTTTTTTTTTTTTTTTTGACAGGCAGAGGGGACAGTGAGAGAGAGAGACAGAGAGAAAGGTCTTCCTTTGCCGTTGGTTCACCCTCCAATGGCCGCCGCTGCAGCCGGCGCACCGCGCTGATCCTGGCAGGAGCCAGGAGCCAGGTGCTTTTCCTGGTCTCCCATGGGGTGCAGGGCCCAAGCACCTGTGCCATCCTCCACTGCACTCCCTGGCCATAGCAGAGAGCTGGCCTGGAAGAGGGGCAACCGGGACAGAATCCGGCGCCCCAACCGGGACTAGAACCCGGTGTGCCGGCGCCGCAAGGTGGAGAAGTTATGGCAATTCTGATCAACATAATAACATGCAGCCATTCAAAAAGATAATATAGCCATTGGTATAATTCATCTACCCATACTACAAATAATTATTCAATGTTTACTTTGATCCAGGCATTTACTGAACACTGAGAACAGAGTTGAACAGACAGCCTTCCTGCTGTGGGGAACTGATATATCATAAGATGGAAGGGGCAAGGTTTTTATAATATAAACATATAATTTGCCAAATGCTAATGAATTGTTTCATAAAAGATGTGCATGGTATGGAAACGAATCATCAGGGAGTAATAGTACAAATCTACAAGTCAGAGAAGTTTCAGACAAGATGATATTGGAGCAGAGAACTGAATGAAATGGAGAAAGTACCTTGCAGGGAGAAAGAAGAGGAATTGTTCATCATTAAATTAAAAGGTGTATGTTTATATAGGTATGGGAAAATGATTTTTAGAAAAATGTTGGAGGAAATCACACCAAAGGGTTCCAGAGATCTCTCTGAGGCCTTCAGATTTTACTTGTCCTTCCTGTAGTTAGCCTAGGCCTTCTTTAGGCACCTTGAAAAGGGTACATTCCTACGTGCTCTGTACGTTCTTTCTGCATGGAAAGAGAGATAACTTCCCACTTCTTAACCTAGCTCCACAACCACCTTTCAGCACCTGTAATAAATGTCACCTCTTCAGGAAGACCCCTGACATTCTCGACTGGGTCACAGTCCTGCACACTCCCAGTTCTTCGTACTTCAGGGCAGTGCTTATTATTTTCACAAAATCATCATGCATACAACTGGTTGCTGACGGTCTTTCTCTTCCATCACAGTGTAAGTTCCTGGAAGGCACAGGGTCAGTCTGTTTTGCTCAAAACTGCATCCCAAGGCCAAGTGCACATCTTTATTCATATGAGGTGCTTGGCCAAACTCATTCTAGGTTCAAGGGTCATGGACAAAAGGATTAATACCAATCGGAAGACAATAAAATGTTGTCTCTGACTTAAAAAAATTATTTTTAAATTACAGCAATTTGACAATGATTTTAAAGTTAGAAAAGAAACAAAACAGTTTTAGAAACTAATTAAAAACTCTGCATTTGCGCTCCATTCTCCCCACACCTTGAATTTTTGAAATTCCATTTCCTATCTTTCTATATTGCCTATCTCTTGACAGGGTAAATGAATTATTATTTTAAAGTTTTGGAAGATTTGAAAGATTCAGGAAAAAATATGGAACACTCATGAATTTGCATGTAATCTATGTGCAGGGACCACACTGATCTTCTCAGTAGCATTCCAGTTTTGGTGATGTGTGCTGTTGAATAGAGCATCAAAATGTATGTGTTGAAGTATTCATGCCCAGACCTTAGTGCAAGGCACACTGTGGAGAGAATCTTCATTTTATATTAAAATGAGGCCATTAGGATAGGCCCTAATCCAATATAACTGGTATCTTTAAAAGAGGAAAATTTGGAAATGGATTCACAGGGAAGGAAAAAAATTGAGACACAGGAGAAGCAGCCATGCAGAAACCAAGGGAAAAAGAGCCCTAGAGGAAACCAACCACGCTCATCTTGGACCTCCGGCCCCCAGCACTATGAGAGAATAAATTTTTGTTGCTACAGGTACACAGTCTGTGACATTTTATTAAGCAACTCTAGCATACTAATGCAGTAACTTATCACAATCTACTGACATAAACAGGGCTTATCATTTTGAATGAAATGTGGAAAACTTACTTCTACTTAGTCCTTTGGCTTTTCTCATTTTAAAAATATAATTGGGGACAGCATTGTGGCAAAGCAGGTAAAGCCACCACCTGCCAACACTGGCATTCCCTACGGGGATTGGTTTAAGTCCTTGCTGCTCCACTTCTGATCCAGCTCCCTGCTAA